GCCTGGCTGCCGTCTAGGGACCCCCCACACTTGACCCTGACGGAAGGTGACCTGCCCGCAGGAAAGACCGGTGTGAGACCCGGAGCCTGCTGCTGCGGCCAGCGGGCCCCCCCGGCTGCTACAGCTACACGAGTCTCCGTGAGTGGGGCCCTGGGGCCGGGGCCAGCCCTGGGGACGCACTGTGGGTGACTCCGGGTGACCCCCGGCCGAGCAGGCCCTCCCAGTGTCTGACCTGGACCTGCCCCCCACTCGGGAGAGAACCCGGGACCCACCCGGGAGCCAGTCCTGCCGGGCCCGCCCTGCCCGGTGGGGTCTCCCCAGACCTTGTGGCCCCCTCCCTGCTGGACGGGCAGGCACGCAGCACCCCATCCTCTCCCAGGAGGATGGCTTCCCCACCGGGTCTCCTTCCTCCTCCGACCAGCAGAGGGTTGGTGGCTGCACCCTGACCCCTCGTTTTCTGAGCCTGCGTGCTTGCTGCCCCCCAGGATTCTGGTTGGGGAACACGGGGCCCCCTCCCCCGCCCCTGGCAGAGTGCCCAGGCTGTGCAGGCAGGAGGCAGGGGGAGGGCGGGGAAGGCAGCCAGAAGGGAGCATCCCGCCCCCTCCCAAGGCCAGAGGTCGGGCAGGGCCGCCCACTGTGGTCATCTTGTCCCCAGACTGGGGCAGCTCGCAGGACGTGTGGGTGGAGGAGACGGATTACGGAGAGTACGCTCTGCTCTACGCCGTGGGCTCCGGAGACCACGGCTTCCACATGGCCACGCTCTACAGTGCGTTCTCCCCCCGCAGAGGGGGGGCAGCGCTGAGACCCGTGGCTTTTCCGTCCTGCCCAGGCCGCACCCAGACCCCGCGGGCTGCCGTGAAGGAGAAATTCACCACCTTCGCCCGGGCCAAGGGCTTCACAGAGGAGGACATTGTCTTCCTGCCGAAGACGGGTGAGGGCGCTAATCCCTGGGAGGGGGTGCAGTCAGATTAGAGGCAGGCGGTTCCGGGAGGCCGAGGGTCGGAGGTCATCTGGCCAGACCACCCACTGAGCAGCCACGTGGCTTACACAGTGGGGGCCACTGTCCTCCCCCCTCCCCCCCGACCATGGCCTGCAGCCCCCGGATTCACCAAGCACCCGGCGTGTGGGCCAGGCCCCGGTCGGCCCCCAGGATTCAGGGGTCTCCAGCCCGGTGGGGGACAGGTGCTGTGGGCACCCAGGGCAGCAGCCCATTGGGGCTCCGACATGGGTTCCCCGAGGCTCAGCGCCCATGGCCTTGGGGGTCAGGCAGCTGGTCTGCAGCAGGGGCTGGGGGAGGGGTGGGAGTGATGGAGTCACGGTTTTGGGGGTCAGCAGCTCCCCGGGGCTGCGGTGGGGGAGTGGCCCTGACCCAGGCGCTGACCACCCGCCTTCCCTCCGTCTTTCCTGGCAGATAAGTGCCTGGAGGAGCAGCAGTAGGTGAGTGGGCTGCGGGCTGGCCTCCCCCACCACCCCACCCTCCATGCAAGGGGGGGCCCTTGGCCTGCAGGGGCCAGTCCCAGGGGGCGGGGGTTCCCCTGGGGTTCAGCGAGGCAGGAGGAGCTGGGACCGGGGCGGGATCTGGTGGGGAGGTTGCAGGAGACCCTGAGGGGCTTCCCCTCTCCTGTTGCCTGGCTCCCCGCCCTGCCAATCCTCTCCGTGACCCCGAGTCCCCAGCCCTGCTCCCCGACCCCCACTCCGCCCCCTCGGCTTTATCCTGCCTCTGACAATAAAATCTAGAAGCAACTCAGCCGCCTGGCTCCTGTCTGTCTGTCCTGGAGTCGGTCCTCTGTCGCCGCCCTGGCCTGCTCTGGCCGCTCCCTGGGATCCTGATTCCCCCACCCGCTCTGCTCTGCAGGGCACCCTGGGGGCGGGGGGGGGTAGGTCAGAGGTCAGCACAGCTCCGGGGAAGTGCCCGCAGCCCCCCCCCTCACACCCCCCATGGGCCTCAGAGCACACAGCCCTGCCTGTCTGCCCCGCCCAGGCCCCAGTCCTGGGCCCTCCCTGCCCACATGTGCAGCAGCACCAGCCTGCCCACAGGCCCAGCCGGGCAGAGCTCAGCGGGCCCTGCATGGCACCCGGGGCTGTGAGGCTCAGAGGTGAGCTTGTGAGAGGGCTCCTTGGAGGAGGGGAGTGGGGGGCTGTGCCTGAGCTGAAGACGGGGGCCAACACCCCGAGGGCCTGCCAGGACCGCACCTGCCCCTGCCACACGGCATCCGGCCACCCCCCAGGAGGAAGCGCCGGAAGTGGGCCCGGCCCTCACGGCCAAAACCTGACCTTGACCTATCTCAGTGGGTCTGCCAGGGGGCCAGCCAGTGCCCCAGGACATCTCCTGGGCGTGAAGGCCCTGCTCCCTGCCCGCCCTGTGCGGGGTGTCCCCAGGCCAGGCCCAGGTCCCCGTCCAGGCCGACTTGGATGCCAGCCAGGTGGGGCCCCTCCCTCGGGACGCCCTCTCCCCATAGGAGCTGAGCCTGGATCAGAGACGTGTGGTCAGGCTGGACTGACCCGGTCCCAGCCGTTCGGGGCCCAAGGCAGCAGGCCCCTCAATTCCTCAGGCCCTCGTTGGGGACGGTCGGGGCTGCCCTCACACCAGGTCAGGGTGCACTCGGGCAGGGGGCTGCCTGTGTCTCTCCCGGGACCCTCCCTACAGCCCAGGGCATCTGGTACACACACGGCTGGGGGGTGTCGGACGACCCGGGCTTCCCGGACGCCAAGGACAGCAGGAAGATGCCCGTGGTCTCCGTGACCCCCATGGCCAACGGCGACTGGCCCTCAAGTTGGGGTACTCCACGCGAGTGACCCCACACGCCCCACCTGGGCCGGGCCTTAGACCTGGGCAGTGTGAGGCCAGATGTGAGCCGGCAGGAACCAAGGGGCCCCTGACACAGGAGGCGGGGACCCAGGCCCCTTGTGGGTGCCGGGCTGCAGGCCATTAGGACTCAGCCCGCTCTCCATGTGGTGGCCATTTGCATCGGATCCAGCGGCCTCCTCGGCACGGTGGGCAGGGCTGGGCCACTGCTTAGGGTGCCGGGGCCACGCCTCTCCAGGCCTGACGGTGGCTGCCAGCAGGTGGACGTGACCTTCTCCACGGGTGCCGTGGACGGCAGTTCAGCACCTGGTGAGACAGGGCAGCAGCCAGGAACGGAGGC